TAGTAAGGGCCAGGGCCAGAAATGACAGGCCTGCTCAGCGGACTTCCTCCCAGACCTCCATTGTATAGAGTTTGCTAACACCCACAGGGTACACCACAGCTACTGGAGAAACCGAAAAGGCCCATAATTACCTGACAAAAGGTTAAGGCATCTTTTCCAAGTATGTCCCACTGATTTTGTTCAATGGGAGCCCACTAGGGAAGATATGCTTAGCTTTAGAGTGGTGAGTAAGGGTTCTGCAAAATCCAGAGAGACCAAGTATCCTGGCCAGACCTGTACTTATGCATTTCCTCAGTGCACAGCTGAGTGAGACATGCAATTACAGGCTTTTAAAGATGAAAAATACAAGAAGAAATGATCTAGTTGTCTCTGCAAGAGAAAAAAACAACCAATCCTCACTAAAGTTTCTCCAACTAAGCAGGGATCTTCTCTGTAGGCAGATCAGCCTATCCTCCCGTAAGATTTAAGAGAACCTGGTGTCTACCAACAGAGTCTGAACTGAACCAACTCTGTTCAGGATAAACCTGCTGATACAAATAATCTGCTCTCTAACCTTGAAGTTCCATCCCCACTTCTGCCTTTTGCTTGATATCATTACCCACTGATTTAAACATTTCACCCTTTTACAACCAGTCTAAAAAAATTCCTCTTTTCTGGTCTTAGTTTCTGAACTTTGAGAGTGTTCTAAGGCTGGTGAGGTCTTCATGACATATTCTTTTGTTCTTCCAAAGTGAGTCTTTAGTTGGCTATGGCTACATGTGAGGACTCACTTGTACTAGCTACAGGAGGCTGTAAGGGATTCCTCCCCTTCTCTCCTCCCCTGCAGGGAACAGAAGGAGTCTGATGAGAATGTTAGGCACTCTGTAAGGGGGCCTGGTCATGAGGGTGTCCAAAATCAGAAGAGCAATAAAAGAGAAGAGCTAACCCTTTAGAAGCAAGCTCTGGCTTATGCTGGTGGCAGTTCTGTCTGTGGTATAGCTAGAAAAGGACCTTTATATGAACTTTCCCAGCTCTCACCCAATTACTAGCTAGAAATTGAGAACTCCAAGTGGACTGGGGAGTGAGAAAGAGAACCAGAGGTGAGCTTCCAAATAGGCATTTTCCTAACCCTCAAGGACAGTCTTCACATCCTCATTGCCCTCTGCCTCCCTTAAGCACTATCCCCCAATCATTCACACTGAGCTTTCCAGATACCCTAGAAAAGGACCTGGAAGTTTTACTGAGTTGATGGTACATGCCCCCCCACACACACACACAGATTTTCTGCAAAAAAAAGTCAACTCAAAGATGAGAAGGGGCCCCCTTCAGAACTCTTAGAACAGTTTTGAGCAAATCTGAAACTCTCAAGGCCATAAATCAATGGGAAAAGCAATTGGTGCTGTTTCAGAGAAATGCCTTAATGCCAGCAAAACCCAGAGGCATCTCAGCTCCAGCCTGGAGCCTCCATCGGCACTGCTAACATCCCAGTTAATGCTCCAACTGCTGTTTAACAATTAACATTAATGACTTGGGGTAGGATGGGGTGATTTGGTAGAATGAGAAAAGAAAAACCTCAGGAAGTTAAAGAAAATTTAACTTTTGAGAAAAAGTTGCTTTTTAGTCCTTCATCACTCTGAAATCAGCTTTCCTAGAGCAAAGCCATGGGCCTTTAAAAAAAACTCAGCTGCTAGTCCCCTCCACTCACTTCTCTAGCCTCACAGAGGGCCAGAACTGGGGACCCATGGTTGTGGTCCAGGACATTGGAGCCAAAACGGGAGTGGGGGGTGGAGGGTGGGGAGAGTTGGCTTGGAAGAAGCAGGTGAACAAGGATACAGACTCTTAGTCAATATTTGCAAGGCTGTAGGCCGATTAGCTATATCTTTACTCAAACACAGCAATCTGATTTACCTATCAAAAATACACTTAATATTTTTGTTCCTGTAGTTAACTCTAGTGATTTTTCTACTGAGCATCAAGTAAGACTCTCATAGCACACTATGTGTGTGTGTCTGTGTATGTGTGTGTGTCTGTGTATAGATGATAGATCATTATTTAACATGAGATATTTCCTGTAGGTGCAACTGCAGTACAAAGGGCTTCAAGTTCTCTGAACATATGCGGATGTGTATATTGTGTTATACACATGGCCACAAACTTCTGCAACTATTTAGATATGCAATTGATCTGTTGTTTGCAGAGATGCGAATCATATACACACACTAAGTTGCAAATTCCTAATAAGGTCTATCTATATTTAATATAAACAGATACGGTAGCTGAGACATTAACCCAGATTGACTATTGCTCTGTTTATTTCCTGACCGATAAAATCACACTTGGATCCAGAACACCATGTCAGCCTTAGATCACCACTGACCAAATAGCATGTTGCAATTAATTAACAACCTGATATTTAGATGGGGAGCAAATTTTAGTGAAGATCGAAGCCTAAGGCATAGCAAACAGAATCGCAAAACTTTCTTAAAAGAAAAAATTCCTGGAAGAACAAAGGGAACTCCTTCCTTCACATCAAGCTTCTGAATGCTATTTCAGCAGCCCCTCCCCCAAATAAGCACATAATTTATGGATCTTTTACAAGGTAATAAACCACAGTAATTACCTCCCTGCATCCTAAACTAAAAGAACAAATTAAGCCAGAACTTGAAAAGAATTTTAAAGAGTATTCCCTTGTTCCAAATAGGAAAAGAAAACGCACAGACATAGAAGACCCGGTGCTTTTCCTGTAGCAGGAGCCTCGGATAAGCTGCGATGGAGGTATGAAGACCCGGTGCCTGCGGAGGCCTAGCCTAACCATTCCAAACAGCAAGATCTCACAGGCCTAGTAAAGGCAAAAGGATCGAGAAACTGTAAGGCGGTAAGACAAGTTTCCTCACTGGACCACTGGGACAATTTCCGAACTCATCCTCCGCAGTCGCCTCAGTGGACAAGGAGAGCGGCCCACGCAGCAGTCACCACGCCCGTGGCCTCTAACTAGCCTAACCATTCCAAACAGCAAGATCTCACAGGCCTAGTAAAGGCAAAAGGATCGAGAAACTGTAAGGCGGTAAGACAAGTTTCCTCACTGGACCACTGGGACAATTTCCGAACTCACATCCTCCGCAGTCGCCTCAGTGGACAAGGAGAGCGGCCCACGCAGCAGTCACCACGCCCGTGGCCTCTAATTGCTTTTGCCCTGTTCGTTGTAGTGGCTTGTTTGGGGCTTGCAAAAAGAAACAAACACACCCTCTGACTCCCCCCACTCCATCTTTTGCTTCTGCAACCGCTTCTCCAGGCTCTTGCCCGCTTTGGGGCAGACTCTTTGTCTCCCGGAAGCCCCATATTCGCTGGGAGTGCAGTCAAATGGACTATAGCTCCCAAACTCCTCCGAAGTTAAATATTGACCAGAACCTCTTCAACCCACAGCGGTTGCCAAGAGCCCAGGAGGGTAAACTCCTCCCAGCTGCCTGGTGCAAAGTCCCGCGCAGCAGAGTTTTGGCTCAGCACTTACCTAGAAAGATGTTTAATTCGCAACCAGGACTTGTCTCCAACTCCAGGCGCCGAGGGAATCGCCTTTTCTGGTGTCCAGAAGCTCTACGGACAAATAAACAGCAGAGGGTAAACGGTGGCTGTGAAGGAAGGGACTCGGAGGACCAGAATTGGAAGCGTGGCCTGCGCGGGCGCCAGGGTGGCCCCGGGGGTGACGCGGACACGGAGGAGTCGCCAGGGCACTCGTCCATGCGGCGCACGCATTGCTCGAAATGTTCCAGTCTACAAATGGCCCGAAGATGGTGATTTATTTTTGTAAAATAAATACATACTCCATCTCTGCACCCACACACTCTCTTTTTATCCTCTCCTTTTTTATTTTATTTTTTAGGGGGAGGGGTTGAAAACGAAAGAAAATGGACAGTCGAAGAAAGATGGAAGGTGGAAGAGGTCTTGCTGGTGGTGCAGCTGGAATAGGAGAGCTTCTCACGCACCCCAACTTGGGGAATGTGAATGCACGCTTTATTTTCTTTTGCTAACAAAGGGAAGCCTTGTCTGGGAACATTCAATCACGAACTCTCCTGAAGCCTCACTAATAGTGTTCATTTCTGTTGGCGCGAAATCAGTCCACCGGCCGGAGGCAGTCCTCGGAGGTTTTGTTTTCTAGCTCATTCAAGTCCTGGGAGTTGCACTTCTTGGTCCGAATGGACTGGCGGGACTACCTAAGCACCCAGTCCCTCAGAGCAGGCCAAGTAGGCTGCTAAAAACTGGGAAGTACTTGGGCGATGGGCAATACCCATTGGGGACCTGATCCTGCCACACCTCGCTCAGGGGTCACAGGCGGCTCCATGCCCTAATCCCACTGCATACTCACCCTTTAGGGTATTTATAACTCTCTCTTGCCTTCTAACCAGCAAAGAATCCTGGAGCCATCAGCCAACTTTCTGGGAGCAGATGCTGGGAAGGAGTGAAGAATCATTCCACACATCATATCGGGCCCTGGCTGTGAGTTATTTTCTCTGCTGGGATTCTGTAGCCCTAGCCCTGCCCCCATCACCCCTTCACCCAAAGGTAACCACCCCACACTCCAGCCTGCCCATGCAGCCCTCCATTGTTGGTCCTGCATTCTTGCAATCCTGCTGATAGCGTCAAAATAGGTGCCAAGTCCCCTGACCCCTGGCTTTGGAGCTCCCTAACATGCCAAACTAGTAACCATAAACAGAAGCTGCCCACTGCCACCATTCCACCTGAGACCCCCACCTTCCATCAGGCACCCAGGACTGGAAATCTACACTGGGCCCCTTTCTCCTGTTCCAACATGGACACTGTGTTCCCAATGGCAGTGCCCTCTGGCTTTGGGGCTCCCGGCCTGATCCTGAAGAAGGTGGGGCGTCATCTTTCACTTTGCCACTCAGCCTCACCCAGAAAGATCCACTCTGCCACCACCACCCCCAACACACACACACACCGTGCCAGGCTTAGGGGTACTGTAATTATTAAGGTCATTATTATTTTTGCTATTTCCTTATCCCCAGGTCTAATAATTCTGATTGCTGTTCCCCATAAACCGCCCAGGCTGAGTCACAGAGATGTTGCCCAAGTCTCTTGCTCTTCAATGGCAGCCGCCGAGGAGGCCTCTCTCCGCATTTTTGGCGCTCACTTGCTCCCTCGTTCGCCCGGCGGGAGTGATTTATGAACGCCGGGAAAATTGAACAAAGCCGCGCGCCCGTCCTGCGGTATCTCTGCAGCCTTCCCCAGCGTGAATCAGAACATTACCAACTGTCGGCGCATCCGTCCCACTTCATCACCAAAGCTAAAAGGTGACCGCAGAAAATCCGAGCCCGAACTCACGCTTCCCCTGAAGCGGTGCTCTGTGGGGGACTCGCAGAAACCCTGCGGAAAAAGTCCCAAGACTCAGCGGAGGCCTCCCGGACTCCTGTCTGCCCCAAGGAAGGATCTTGCTTGCCTTCCAGAAGGAGTTAAACAGCCTTTGTAGATAAATCTGAGGGGGTTTTTTAATGAAAAAGGAAGTTGGAGTCTCACTTCTGAGAGATTCATTCCTAGTGAGGCCCTGACGACTCAGATCCATTCTTGACAATCCGCATTAATTATTTAATGAGTCACGTGGCCGCAAAGATTACAATTTCAATATCTCCCTCCAACAGGCGCTACACCTTTATCAGCTGCAACCAGGGTCCTTGTTTGGCTCTTCTGTTTTCCAGGCCTCTGGGGCACATTTGCCTTTGCCCTGGTTTGGGCAAACAACCACCATGGAAATACCTGGGCCTGCACAGTGTAATTAGTCATTCTGTTTCTGAGCATTGTGGACAGTGGGGAGCCCACTTCTTTCCGCAAGTGCTCTGAATCCATCCCTCCTTAACCCAGTGTCAGCCCACCTGTCCAGAACACCATGACTAGGGCAGTTTGGTTACCAAATCTCCCTAGGCAGCTTTGGTATGCATCAGGCAAGAACCTGCTCTTATTCCACAGCTGCAGGTACACCTGTGGCTATTGGCATCAAGTGTAAACCTGGATACATATGTCCATTCCCAGAAGAACAGCTTCAGCAGAGGAAAGGTGTCTGTGCACTTACTGGTATCCACTGTAAGACAGAAGCTCCCATTCAGCCTGCATTTTCATTAATATGACAACAAACAATATGACAACAAACAAACTGTGTGGGGAGGGAATCAGCTGCCTTGGCTTCCTCATTTGTAAACTGAGATTATTATACCAAAATGGACTCCAGGTGTCTACCATCCTGGACATTCTTTCAATCTGGAAATCTCTTCCAATTTCAGAAGTAAATCCCAGAGAGAATGGATAATGGGGCTGGTCTGAAAGGCCAGGAGGCAGGGGGAAATCTCCATGAGTTTGAAGCCTTCGGAGGACAAAATGCCAGAGTTGCAAACTATATAGAAAGTTTTAGACAGCTTCAGCAGCCTCCCTGCTGCTATCAAAAAAACAGAGCAAGTGTCTCTTCCTCCCATACTCTTTGAAACTCAAAGGAAACAGTTATTCTCAAACCAGGGTGGATATAGAGAAGAGGCAACAGGAACAGTAGTTGGGAAAAGCAAGCCTGTATTCTTCCATACTAGACTGTGTCTAAGGATGCAGAGACCAGGAGAGTGCCAACCGCCTAATGCCTACACAGAGGGGAAGTCCCAGGTGTCTGTTTGTTACATTGGTTCTTTAGTAGTTTTCTTTTTCTTCCTTTTTAAAGAGCCCCTGATCTGTTTCCCTGATGATACTGCTGGAGGGAAGACCTCAGTGAGAAGAGTGGCACAGTTTGGAACCTTCCCCAACAGAGGGACAGAATATAAATAGTGATACCCACCCCATGGGGCAGGAAGCTGAGAGATGGAGGAATAGGGCACCCTGGGACAGCTGGGTATAAAGTCAGAGACATTGTGTCTCCCCCCATATATCTAGGTAGTCTTTCCATGAGCTCCATCCTGGGTATTAAGTACTCTAAGATGTCTGTCACAGTTGAATTCCCACTGTAATAAAACACTGGGTATATCATAGATTTCAGTAAAACTAGGGAAGAAAGCCTGCAAAGTGCCATTTTTTCTTCAAGGGGAAGAATGTTAAGTACTTAATTCAAACTGTGACCATTAAAGTGTCTCCTATTCGATTTAGGTTGATTTCAGATGTTGACAAAACTTTATCTCCAGTCTTGCACAGCTTGTGGCTCTGTGACTAAAGTAGATGAGTGTGTATTGGAGGGAGGGAGGAAGAGAGAGAAGAGGTGTGCATGTGTAAGGGTCATTTTGGTAGAAGAATTATAGAGCGTACCCAAAATACTGTCTTTAAAGGTCAAGGGTTTGAGGGGCCAGTAGGGTTTGCTTATTAAAAAAACAAAAATAAAACAGTTAATTTGTACTCTTGGTGAACTTTTATGGTTGCCCTAGCACAGAGCAGACAATGCATGATTTTGAAGTACAAAGTAGGATTTTCTAAGCTGTTATAACAAGCTTCCTTAAAGACCGAATCTGAAACAGGCAAAACACTGCGAAGAAATGACAATCATTTGGACCATTTTCAATCATTTTGATTTTGTAATACTTACCAATATCTTAATAATCAATATACTTTGTACAAAAAAATCCATTTTGTACTAAAATATCAGTAAAACTCTCAACTCCCTAGCTTCCTTTTCTGGACATATTATAAAGAGTGAGTGAAAGAGAATCATCCCCTTCTCCACACAACTGCTTCCATCATGAAGCTAATAAATGTCTCTTACCCCTCCTTCCCCACAAAGGAGAAATATAAGGATTTACCTTAAATGATGATAATTTGCCATTTGAGGTTTTTGCAGTTAGACAATTTTCGCCGAGATCTAGGCATGCTTTTTTTTTTTTTGAGCAGACAGCCAAGATGCTACATCTTTGCCTGAGACCACATTATTTGCAAGAAGATCCCTCTCTCCTCCACAGACTTTTCCCAGAGAATGCCTTTCAGAATTGCTGTTGAATTACAAAGAAGTATTTATTGTATGAGGTGATTAATGATTCCTGAGAATATTGCTATTTTCAGCATGATTTAATTTCGTTTTACAAGTGCGTGTAGTAGGGGGAGTGTTAATAAGTTGCAGCAGGAGTTGCATTGCCTCCAGAAATCCCTGGCACCCGTTCGCACCTTATAAAATGTACTTTGTCAGGTTCTGATTTGAGAAGGCCTGTGTATATTTGTTTACCTCTGAATTTCCTTGACCCCTCAGAGACTGGTGCCCATTACTCTCCTCTCAAATCTAGTTTGTTTGTACATAACCAACTGATCAGCCTTGCCTGAAACATACACAGGGTGGCAGGGGTGAGATGGGTACCAGCACTGACATTGGATAAGAGTTTTGTCATTGATGGAAATATGTGTTTAAAGTTCCTCCAATATTGCAGAGGTAGGTGAACACCCCCTCCCATCTGTGCTAAGATTACTACACTACCTAAAAGCTGTAGTTTTTTTTTTTTTTCAAGGCCAGGTGACAGTTTCAATATTCTGGGGCTAGTGTATTTTGGTTTCCTGTATCTTGTTAAAAGGTACCTCCTGCACTGAGCAGCCACTGTAAATCAGTAAACAATTATTAGAGTTATGGGGATTGCAAAGTGGGCTTTGATTTTCAACAGTTTGGATCTAGAGCTCCTGGACTGAGCAGAAAGATTGAGCATTTAAGGAAACTGACCCTACTTTACAGTTTGGCTTTCTTCCAGCAGTAAACTCTCCCAAGGTCTAGTTTGCTGGGGGTACATGTTGGGGTGCCATTATGCTGTTTTCTTCCTCATAAGAGACTTTGGAGGGTGTATTGGGAAAATTCACTTTATTGAGAGAGTTCTTCCTTCAAAAAAGAGAAACAAACACAAATTCTGAAGCTGTAGTTAGTGAAGAGGAACTTCAGAACAACCAAGAAAGAAAAAGCAATCTCAACCCTTTGCATGAACTATTTTTCATCTCCAGGGAAACAGGCAGATTAAGTGTGAAGGTGCAATAAATACCAATGGGACCACTTTTTTTTTTCCAAGTGTGCTCAGAGTTCAGTGTGTAGAACAGCTGCAGAAACTCCTAGGCCCGTAGCATTGCATGGTTTCACCTTTCATTGCAGGGAAGGACACGTTTCTATGCCTTACAGAGACTTGAAGCCTGAAACCCTGGCCAAGTTTGGAAAGAAGAGGAGCCCTCTCAGAGCTCAAGAGCCTTTCTGCTCTTTGGAGCTTTTCCACAGAGGGTCAAGCTTGACAAGAGTTCAGCTCAAGTTGAACACACACACACAGACACATGCACACGTATACACACACACACACACCCTCTCACATCAATTATGTGAGCAATAAGAATCCAAGTGAACCCAACTCAAGCCATCTATGAGGTTTTACATGCAAGGTCAAATACCTCAATCCCGAGAGGACTCCTCCTTTTTTAATGAAAAGCTTAGAAACACACAAATCTGTCTCAGAGTTTTATTTTTTTTAATGAAGTTTATTCTTCACATGTGGCTTTCTATATAGCCACATCACCATTTGTACAGTTGCACATAGGTCTAAATGCACTCCTCTCTCCCCCAAGATTGTGCCCCTGAATAAGACAACAATATTTCTGTAAGGATATCTTAAATAAATGCAAGGAAGGGAAACTAACATGTCACACCTACCATCAAGGTCTACACATTTTGAGAATTAAATACTCTGGTGAGGTCCACAATGTCTACTTATTTATTCAGTTCAATACAAGCTTATATGAGCTGCCTTAATGGGGAGGAGGGAGGAAGGAAGGTGGGAAAAGGATCTGTTTTCTTTTGCTTCCAACAAATATGCAAGTACATGTCTGCAGTCAGCATGGGCTGTCCAGCTGACTCTGGCCATCTCAGAAGTATCTGATACCAATTGGTCCTTCCCAGGTATCTTAACTTGACAGCCCTGTTGAGGCCAGCAGGTCATTCCACCATCCTGCATCCTGGACAAGTGTCCTGTCTTGCGTGGCTTACCCGCATACTGTCTTCTTTTTGGTTATTCTTTTCACCAAGCTGGGTTTTGTTTTGGTGTCTGTTAGGTTCCAGAACCAGAACAGCAGGGATGGATGGGGACAGGGGCAGGGAAAAGACAGGAGGAAAGCAGGTAAGGGACAGAAACTTCTCTAGGTCTCTAGAAGGTTATATGGAAGAGGGAATGGGTGTGGAGGCACCCGGGTGGGGATGGGGATGGGGGTGTGGGCTTTGAGTTTGTGCTTTCCCTGGCGCTGAGGAGGAATTGGAGGACCGCATCTTGGTGTTGGGCAGTTTGTGATCTTTCTTCCACTTCATCCTCCGGTTCTGAAACCAGATCTTGACCTGGCGCTCTGACAAGCAGAGCGTGTGGGCGATCTCGATGCGGCGCCGCCGGGTCAGGTAGCGGTTAAAGTGGAACTCCTTCTCCAGCTCCAAGACCTGCTGCCGGGTGTAGGCGGTTCGAGAGCGCTTGGGCTCCCCTCCGTTATAACTGGGGTTGACTAAATGCCCAGAACCCCGAAGGAGAAGGCCAAGGAGGAGAGAGTGAAAGAGACGGAAAGGAGGAGGAGAGAGAAGGTGGGGTGGGGAAGAGCAATTGGACATCATCATTATATAATAACCTGACACCAAGTTCACGCAAGATACATAAAACGGCAAAGAAAATGTTTCACAGGCTATTGACAACGGGAAACACCCGAGAGCCATAAAGAACGGTGCTGGGCATTGGGGCTGAAGAAAAGCTTCAAAGACACATGGCCTGAAGCCTCTGCCAGGGCAATTAAATTTATGGGGGCTATAATTACTGCCCTAACAGTTTGGCGTCTCGTAAATCTCCGGATAAAGGGACCCGGGGTACAAAAGGGTTCTCACGTTGGGATCAGGCGGCTGGCTGGCGCGCACACACCCACACCCCACTGCAGCCCGGGCCAGGGACCAGATGGGGGACTCCCCTCCAGAGACCCCCGTTCCCCTGGGCCTCTCCCACCTAACCCCCGCCCCGACCCTCGAGCCCTGCCCGACCCGAATCACCCTCCAGCGCCTCCCCAGCGGCGCCACGTACCGGCGCTGACATGGATCTTCTTCATCCAGGGGTACACCACGGGCTCCTTGCCCTTCAGGCCCGGCGGGCTCTTGTCGGCCAAGAGCAACGGGCACGCGGGGGCGCTGCCCCCTGTCGGGACGCCCGTGGTGGCGGGGG